TTTATACAAGATATAATAACAAACAGAGATTGTGAAAACTAGCGAGTCCTTCGAGAATTCTAGTATCAAATTATGCGATACCGAAATTTTCATCGAATATTGTGAAACGTTCGTAGTTGTGAGATCCAGACATCGTTGATAAATGGCAATTCCTCGAGATGTTCCCGAGGAGATTTTTGCAAACGGATGCTGATTGTGATACAGAAAATGTTTGTTTGTATCTCGATGATGGAATTCGTATCGGTCGTGAGAGGCCTCGTAAACATACGATCGTGTATCACGAATCCGATAACAATAACAGGCGATAAAATTGTCACGAATCGGTGATCTGTATACGCCGAGAGAAAGAGAGAGAGAGAGAGAGAGGAAAAATCATTCAATGAAAGTGTGAACGAAAAGGGAGGCCAAAGAAATAACGAAGCTGACCGAGATAACAGGATTGGATAATGGCACCATGAAACCAGTGCGTATGTAACAATAACAACAGTTAACAATCCGTCTCCGGTATACAATAAATAATACGAGATGGCGCCACGACGGAGGTTATCGCGTGAAATGTAACTTATAACAAAATAATGTACAGCCTGAGAGCTGAACGGAGCCACGTTATTATCAAGTAATAATTTATTTTCTGCTGCCACCGGCCACTCTCATGACCCGTTCCCTCTTTCTGTCTTGTTTCTTCTTCCATACCGCTTGGCCTCGCGACACTTAACGATGTATTTATTAATTACGCACTGGCGCCCATTCAACGCGTCTGCGTTCCACAAAGACGTTATCCTTTTGCGAGGGTGGAAAGCAAAATCGAATGAACCGTTCATATCGTACGATCGGATGACTCGTCGTTGTACGGACCAGACGATTACGCGTATTTGCGCATAATGGTTATTAACAAGAAATTCTCGCTGTACTGTAAATTATGATCGTTCTTCGTCTTTCGTTCTAATCTTATAACTGAAATTACAATCAAATGTTGATGCAAATATTTTTAGAAACGAGAAACTCAATAGAGCCTAAATAAAGATTCGGCTTTCACCCTCTAAATAGAGATTTGTTTCATATTTCAAATATTACTAAATATCACTGTAACATCGTAAGTAGTATTCATGTAGTGTTTATGATACTTCAGATATTTTGCATATTCTGCTTCAGATATTTTGTATAT